GCATGATTTTAAGAGACAAATATTCCTGTTGGAGGATTGGACCAATTTAATAATCCCATTGTCACATATCCCTAAAGTTACAGCAGAATTGTTCATTCATGGTCAGGGGGCTGGACCCAATGATCTCATGAGGTCCCATCCAGCTCTAAACTTCTGTGGGTCTGTGAAAAAGAAATATCTACACCCATCTACAAGTGCACTTTAGTGCGCATTAGCTTATTTTAATGCATATTAAAGCATCACTAAAAACATGCTCTTTAGTTAATGCACATTAAAATAGACTAATGTACATTAAACATCACTAAAATCCATGCTCTCTAGTTAATACTCATGAAGACAAGCTAATGTGCATTTTCTTAGTACCTCACAATGGAGGTACTAGATTTTATGTGCATTAATGCCCATGTAGACATACCCGGTGCCACATAGAATATGTGTAGAACTAAATAATCAGTTCCTGTATGGGTTTTCTCCCAAGATATCTCTTTCTTGCAAGTGCAGTTTATCACTTTTAGTCGTGTGTGTGTAAGTACTGTGTCTAAAAAGAACCACTCAACACCTTTCACCATATTGCTCCCCAGTTTCCCTGGAAGCCTTTCTGCTATCCCTAGTTTGCTAAATGAATACTGCCCCTAACTGACTTCAGCATCAGTGTTTGCACCCAGATAATCAGAGCAATGCGGCTCTGTATATACAGGGATACAGAACTGAGGAGAAGTGTGGAATGAAATATTTTGGATCAATATAAATATATAAGTATAAAGGCTTAGACTTGCAAGTCAGTACTTTTAATACCATAGTGTATTAGTAACTTAGAAAAAAATGGGATTGAATTGAGTCAGAGGCCCTTGTTATCATTTTTTAAAACTGATATTTCCAGTACTACTTTCCTATGTCTGTTAGCATTGAATGTTTTAGATGTGGCAACTTTTACATTTCATAGATTTGATGATACTTAGGTATAAAGGATGCAGTCCCATGAAGTATCTGATATCAAGCTCTAACTCATGTCCCTCAGGGCCAGATTTCCTTAGTTATAAGTTAGTCCCTTTTTTCATAAGGAGTCCCACTGTTGTTAATGGAAATGCAGGGTATCCTAAAACAGAGCTAGGGTATGAGAATCTGGCACATAGTATTGCTTTATATTTGTGAAAATGGAGCCCATGGACCCTTCAGGTTGGGTGTATCTACATGTGCACTTTATTGTGGAGTTGACTAATTAGCTCCACAGTAAAGCGTCACCGATATTAGGGCGCAGTAAACTAATTCACTTTGCCATAGTATGCAGTACTTTACTGTGGTGAAGTATGTGTGTAGATGGTTACTGGATGTGCAAATTGCGCCCGGTCAGCACAGTCAGCCGGGGGCTTGCTCTGCCTCGGCTCAAATGGCTCCTGTCCAAGGTGCACATGTAGACACCACGCACAGGAGCAGTTGACTCCAGTGCAGACTTACTCTGGGGTTTGTGTTACCTTAATTTCACATGTAGATGCACCCATTCACTCTAATGTACTTTGATCAGTAAAATGTAGGCCTGTGCGAAGTGGCCAGTATTCACTTCGGATTTGATCTATTCAGGGATCAATAATTTGATTCAGTGATTCGAATCACTGTCCTGAATCAATTCATCCTAATCTGATTCAGAGATTCAGCCACTGCTGAATTGGCTGAGTCTCTGAATCAAGCAAGGCCCTATCGCCCGACCACTCTCCTAGCCCCGTCAGTAGCTAAGTGCCCTGCCCAGCCCCAGTGTCCTGGCACTTACAACAAAAAATCCACTCACTGGCTTCTGCTAGGCGGGGGGGCAATCCCCACAAGCCCCCAGAGGCGTGATGGCCACTGCAGCAGCCAGTGAGTGTGGGGCTTTTTTTTTCTTTTTAAGTACCAGGGCGCTGTGGCTGGGCGGAGCAGCCATTGACAGGGCTGGAAAAACAGGTGAGGGTGCAGGGGGGGCTCAGGAGATCTGGGGGAGCAGGAAGGGGATGGGGCCTGGTGGGGGTCCCCCCTTGGTCCCGTCCTCCAGCCCCGCCCCATACTTACTGGCATGAAGCCTAGGTCCAGCTCCCTGTAAAAAAAATCTCCGAATCTTTTCTGAATCGATTTGGAGGCTTCGAATTGATTCGGACTTTTTAATTGGTCTCCTGATGCAATTCGATTCGGATTTAGAGATTTGGCTGCCAAATCTGGCCAAATCCCCTCCGAATTGAATCAGCAGCTGAAGCTTCACACAGCCCTAGTAAAATGTTAATTGAGATTATTTAATGCATTCTTACCACATACACTTTGAAACTTCTTCTGTCTCTTAGAAGTCCTATATGCATGCAGGGAGCAGAGGAGCGCAGAAATTAATGCACTCCTCCAGCAGACTAGCATCACATATATCAGTGTTCCTGCACTGAAAAATGGTGCTGGGGCACTTTGAACTAAAACTCATCAGACAAGCTTTAGTTCAAAGCACCCCACTGCCATTATTTTTAATGTGGGGATGCCGTTACATGCGACAATCGTGGCTTACTAATTAAAGTGCCACCCCCCCAGCCTCCTGCAGCTCATGTGAAAATGTCCTTACGTTTTGGATAACAGAATTAATAATTACATATCTAGTGTAAATATTTCAGACCAGCAAAACTCTGTTGCCCACAGAGTGGCCATTGCTCACCCCCCCACTGCTGACATGCCTCTGTAAATGGGGCTTCATACCCCAGATTTCCATGGCAAACCCCACCCCCAAATTCCCAGCCCATTTGGGAGCCCCACAGGCCAGACGATCGGGCCCACTGGCCATACATTTGACCCCCCTTTTACATAGCATTTGGTAAAAAGAACTTATAGTCTAATGCCATTTAAAAATCCATACTCAGTACAGATGTTTGCACCTCCAGCTTGGTAGTTCAATGTAAGAATTTTATCAATACAAGTCGGACATCTCTTGACAGTCTCCATTGATACAGTTGAATATCCACATCACCAAAGCCACTATTGCAATTGGTACATGTTAGTTGGTGATAGGCATGGGCAACCCCCCCCCCCCCCCCCCCCCCCCCCCCCCCCCCCCCCCCCCCCCCCCCCCCCCCCCCCCCCCCCCCCCCCCCCCCCCCCCCCCCCCCCCCGAAACAGTGCTTTACTGTTACTGGAAGAGGAAGCACATTAGTTCAGCCTGACTCCCCAGTGTCTGCATAGATTGTACACTTCGACAGGGCTTTTTGGTGCTTGTATCTAAAGCTGATTTCAATCAGCTATAAGTTAAAAGCAATAAGGTCCACTGAAGCACGCTATCTGTACTGACAGTGGGTGAGCCAAATCAAAGTAATGTGATGCCTCTTCTGGGCATGCAGGGTGCTTGGTGCAGGAGCGTGCCAAGCTTGAGGTAAAGCGCTGTTTTGTTTTCACATATATAAGCAGCATTGGTACAAGAGCTGGGGTATCCTTACATTAAAGCCAGCAATATACGGTTTTTAATATGGGACCACTGAATCTTTGTGATGGTTAATTTTCAATCAGCCATTTTAAATCAGAATTTATATACACTTTTCCTTTTGTCTCCCACACTCAATTTCTAGTCTCTCTTCAAAAAGCTCCTCATTCAGAAAATTGTCCTAACACATGCTAAAGCTCTTTCTTGAAAAGAGATGGAGTTCAACCTGTTCTTAAAAGCTTTCCTGAGTTGGGACTAAATAAGATACCAAGAAAGAAACCACTTGGACAGATAACTAATATATCAAGTTTTAGATCTGTGCAGAGTTAAACACTCCAAAACGAGCTTTGCAATGAAAACACAGATGCGCTCTTAAAGAAATGCAGTTGTCATTATTTGTGTTGCAGTATCACTTCAGAGCTACCATCATGACCAGGATTCCTTTATGCTAGCAGCGTGCAATCTAAATAGAATCTGATGGGTCCATCAGGTCCAAATCCTTAACTATTTTTGCATTAGGAACATATTATTCTGTATTAAAAAGAAAATTATCCCAAATATCCTTTCCTACAACATGGTAGTGGAGCAGGAAGCTGATATTTTCCTTAACCCAGACATAAACACATCTGTAAAAAGTCAGATAATTGCCTTCAATTATTTTTGGATTGTGTCTTCACTTAGTGCACACTGATGAGTTTGTGTAGCACAGATTCTTCATTTTTTTTTTTTAACCCTAGGGTGTTCTGGCAATTTGAAGAAAAGAGAGTACCAATAGAACGATCCTCAAACTTTTAATTAATACACTAAGAAAGGAACAGTCAATCTATGATTTGGGTGGCCTAAAAAGGTGTCATTTAGGCCCTGTTTGGTGTAAGAAAAAAGAGGCTGAGATAATCAGTATGTCATTTAGCATTTATGACAATTGTCTGTGTGTTTTCTTTCATTTTGCCATAGATATGGAGTATGAAACAAGACAGTTGTGTCCATGACTTACAAGCACACAACAAGGAAATTTATACTATCAAATGGAGTCCTACAGGACCTGGAACAAACAATCCAAATGCCAATCTTATGTTAGCAAGGTAATACTTAATCCTGTTTTTCCTACCACTCAAGAAGTTGGCACTTGTTCATTTAACTTAAGTTTTCTCTAAATATATGTTTGCAACACATTTTAACAGCATGAAAGGCTCAATAAAGAAAATAGTTTAAACAGAAGCTCTGTCTCATTCAAGAAGAGATCTTATCAACAACTTCCTAAAGCTGGTATTAAAAAAAATAAAATAAAACTGAGGTGTAACTGATTTCTATTTTTTTCCTTTACAGTGCATCCTTTGATTCTACTGTTAGGTTATGGGATGTAGAGAGAGGAATTTGTATCCACACCTTGACGAAACATCAAGAACCTGTGTACAGTGTAGCTTTCAGCCCTGATGGCAGGTACCTGGCCAGTGGCTCTTTCGACAAATGTGTACACATCTGGAATACACAGGTATAGCTTTATTGCCCCTGTCTTTGGATAGTTCAAAATTCAGTTTTGATACAAGTCTCCTGTTGACTTTTCTTCTTCTACCATGTTTCACTGTGACAGGGTCCTTTGTCTTTGTCAGCATTCTGTATTGGTACGTAGGCCCGTTGAGTTCTTCTACTTTGCAGCGTGCCTATTTGTATTTCAGTTCATCTCATGGCCAATTGCATTCTGTTATCAATATCTATAATTTTACCTTGCCTCTCTCCATTTCATCTATAATCCACTGTCCCTTTTTTGGAGTGCAGATAAAAAAAAAAAAAAAAAAAAAAAAAAA